CCGGCGTAGCGGGCGCGCCTATCGCAGTCCCTCCTGGGCGCGCCCCGCCCGCCGCTAAGCAGAGAGGCTGGCGCTCGTCGCCCAATCCCGAGCCGGCGCGGAGAGAGGGCCCGCTCATTGGTCAGCTCTGCAGCTCCGAGCGGCGGGTCGCGCGCACTTGCGCGCCTCGCAGTATAAAAGGCGAACAGCTCCGGGCTCGCGGGCGTAGGCAATGGCTTTGGCGTGGAGCCCGTGAGCTACGCTGTGTGCGGACGCGAGGTTTCCCTGAGGCGCCGTCGGGAGCAGGTGGATGACTGTCTGCCTCTGAAGAAAATCTGATTCCCCATGAGGCCACTCGTCCTGTCCTATGGAACACGTCACACAATATAGCATTTGTTTAAAACAGCACCAACAACAAAACAAAAACCAGGACACACTTACAGGTAGTGTCCCACAGAAGAACTCTCCGCCGCCGCCGAATCCAAAAAACTATCAGCTGGGATCGAGTTCTGCAAACCAGAAAGGAAGAATGCCAAGGGCCACAGCTGTTCCACAAAACCCGAGTCAATGGGTTTAGAGTTACCTGGGACAACAACCCACATGGAGTGCAAGGAAATCCAGATAAACAGTCTCCGGAATTTCCTAGAAACTGTTGGGCGAGGGGGGCGGGGTGGGGGGTGGTGGAGTGTCGTGTGTGTGTGACCTATTTTCTAAGTTCTAAAATGCATGAAATAACAATTCAAGAAGCCTCCTCTATCTCCTCAATGAATTTTACTTCTCTAGCTCAGGATTTCTCACCTGAGGGCTATTGACATTAGGGCCAACATCATTCTGTGTGTGTGTTCTGTTTTTCGGGGTTATTTTGGGGTTTTGGTGGGCGGGGGCGGCCTGTGCATCCCTGCTCTCTGCCCGATGCCAGTAGACCACTACCCCATTATGACCATCGAATCTGTCACTAGACATTGCCCAAGATCCCCTGGGCGCCAAAAATCATCTCCAGCTGAGAACCACGGATCCAGCTGTTTAAAGAATTCTTTCAAAAGGAGTCTCTCGTCGCCGGTGCATTCCAATTGCCTGGCTCCAAGCAACTGTGCTTAACACCCTACCCACCCGAACGCTCCGGCTCCCTAGGCTTGCTTCCCGGCTGCTTGGCCTCCTCCGTCACAGGGCCGCACCCTAGTAAAAAGATGATCACTATCTGTGCGAGATAGCAGCTAATGTTCTCCAAATATGTGGAAATTCCTTTGTCAAGTGCTATACAAACGTTAGTTATTTTTACTTCCCAAAGTATTTCCTTTCAAAAGAGGGTAGACCCTATGGCAAATAAAAAGTTTATTTTCTGGTGAATAAAGCCATGCCCAGAATCCCAAATTACTTGGCCTTGTGAAAAAAAAAGAAAAAAAAAAAGAGGAGGGGGGGAGGAGGAGGGGGGAAGAGGGGGAGGAGGAGGAAGAGGAGGAGGGAACAGTGAAAGAAATTGAAGATAATTGGATTTGAGTTTTAACTTTGATGCTAACTAGTTCTGTGATTTCAGAGCATGAAAATTTCCTAAACTATTCCTAAGTTTACTTCCCTAAATGTTCTCATCCATAATATAACAGGTTAACTGCATATTTTTTCTAGCTTTGAGATTCTGGCAGCCTCTGCATATGGAATCTAACATGGATAGCATAGGGAGTTAAGAAAATATAATTTCATCCCAAAATAGAATGAAATGGGTAATCTGTGCTTTAAAACCCCACCAGAAGAGTTGTTCGTCTTTGTCACAAGGCAGATTCACCCACAGAGTCACCCGGGCAAATTTGTAACTGAGTGTTTTGGGTGAGTAGTGAAAGCCAAACTGTAAAAACAAGTGTATGGTGGAGAGTAACCATAGGAAATACCTTTCCTCCTTCCTAATCTTGGCATCTGCTTAACCCATCATTTGCCAAGAGCCTCTATTACATGTTTATGTAATAAAATGTTGTTCCATTTTATTATGCTAAGGGCTTAGGGGAAATACATGAATATTGCATTTCAGCCATTTGCAACAAGTCTGAAATCTCAATTTTCAAGATTCTTCCATTCCCTGTTATATGTGAAATCCTTAACTAAGGCTATTATATCCCTTTGGTTTTAATATCTCTATGTACTAGTGAAAGTCAAAGTTTTCATAACTGAATTAGTAGCCTAATCACTTCTGACTGTATGAAACAGATGATCAGAAATGATATAAATTAAAAGAATGCTCACTGATTGAGATATAAGAGAAGTTATGAAACAAGTCATTAATTATTACACAAGTATCTAAAAATTTTAAATACCATAAAAACAAAAAGCAAACCAATAAACCATGAATTTTTCTAATTTAAGTGGGTTTAGTTATTATTGTTTTGATGTTTTAGAGTACTTCTTAACCTTTCATAAATCTAGCTAAAATGATTATGTCCCTAAGCTAAGGACATTACACAGTTGTTGCCATGTGGAATGGGAAGTCCTACTGTCTTTGGTTTGTTTAGCATCAGTGTCATTCAATACAGATGTGTATCATTCAACTCAGTTGACTTCAATATTCACTCATTAATATAAAATATATATATACTTCTTATGTCTAAGTACTTTGCTGTAGAGAACTGAAACATGAGACAGTCCCTGTCCTGGAGGAATTAAGTAAGGTGGGGAAAGGGACAAGATAAGACAAGTCCATAAACGTAAAATACAATATAATAAATGAAAATAAGGCTCAAAAAATGGTAAAGTCTTATATTAGGAGAAGCTTTGCTATCTAATGAGGAGGGAGAAGGACAGGGAAAGAAAAGACACTACTATTGAAAGACCCACAGTAATAGGAAAATCAAGATCTTATACATGCCTTTAAAAAAGATAACACTTTTTATCAATTTGAATGAGTGAAGAACACAGAGAAAAGCATGGGCTTATTATGGGAACAGCAAGTAGTCAACAATAACTTCAGAGTAGCATATTCAATATTTAGAGTGTTAGTCATTTATCCCACTTGTTTGTGTGCCCTTGGGTGGTCCTGTGCTAGACGGGGGATGTGTAGACAAATGAAATATGGTCCAGGAGACGTTTTATTTTGGAGAGAGGGGGCAGGTATATTTGGAGCTTGGAAATTTTTTCTAATAAGAGAAGGACCAAGACTGAATCCAAGAGAAAGGATATCAGGTTTTTTCTCCTAAATAGAGCAATAAAATTACCCATATCTTTTCCTCACTAAGTGCCCAATCAAATCTCTATTTTTGTTTATGTAATAAATCTCAGCTACCACTTTTAATTCATATCCACACGTGAATACCTCTCACTGGGTCTGGGGACGTATCTGTGCTGAGCTCCAGAGAGTTGAACTCCAATGCTTCTTCTATCCAGTCTTGGACTCACTCTGATTGAGATTTAACTCCATCACAACTTCAAAACAGCCTTTATCAAGGTCACCTGTTAGAGCCACTTTGTTAAATGCAAAGGTCAGTGTTCAGTCCTTGTCTTCCTTGACCTGCCAGCCAGCATTTGATGCCACTGAGCATTTTCTCCATTTTGTCCTCTGGACTCCTGACCACTCTAGCTTCTCTGCCTACACACTGGAACCTCCTTCTCAGTCTTCTTTGCTGGTTCTTCCGTATCTCCCTGATTGCTAAAAGTTGGAGTCTCTCAGGCTACACTTAATATTTTACCTCTCTCTGCCTGGGTTTGAATCCTAGTTCTACCACTTGCTAGCTGTTTGATCAGAAGAAATTAACTTCATTTCTCCAAGATTCAATTTCCTTACCTATAAATTGATGATAATAGAAGTAGCTACCTCTTTTAGTGGTTGTGAAGACCAAATGAATCTATTTATGTAAAGCGCTTAAAAAATGCCAGGCACTGTATACACTAATTCTTTGTACTTGTTCTTATCATGTTCTTTATCACTCGCTACCTATGTGATTGCATCTGGTCTCGGTTGCTTTAAATTCTGTTTATACACTGTCAACTCTAAGTTTGTCTCTAGCCTAAACCTCTGTCATAACTCCAGAATCATATATTCAACTATTAGGCTCAACACCTCAATCTGATTTTCTAATGATTATTACACATTGAACATGCCATAACTTTTTATGTTTATCTAGGTTTCTTCATTTCAATATATGGTGACCTCACTATTCCAGTTGGTGAGGCTTTCTTTCTACTGTAGATGCAATCCAGTGGGAAATCCTCTCATTTCTACCTTCGTATCCAGAATCTAACCACTTCTACCCACCCCACTGCTACCACGCTAATAGGCTCTTCTGCACTGATATCTTCTCAATACTGCAGCCACCGTGCTCTTGAATGTATATATTTTAGCTGTATGACTTTGAACAAGCAACTTAACCTTGCTAAGCTTCATTTTGGCCATCTGTCTGTGAAACAGGAAAGTAGCAATATCCTCAGATTACTGTGAAGATGGAGAATGCTTGCAAAGCATATTATAGATTACTGGCAGCTTTTTGAAAATGAGTAAGTGGTGGCTATTAAAAATTCAAACTATTTTTTTGGATGGAGACTGCCTGTAGTTTCTTTATTTTTAAAAGTATGGAAATTAAAAAAAATAAAAAACTCTGAAATGGCGTTGGATTCCATAAATACTGTCTCTCAGGCCAGGTGCGCAGCTAGAACACAAAGATGGAAAGAACATGGCTCCTCCTTCAAGGCTGCCACAGGCCCAATGTTAGCCACAACGTAGTGTTGGGTGAATGTCCAAATGAGAAAGGTAAAACCAAAGAGAATAACAAACTTTTCCAGTAACCCCAAAGAAGCCCTATAGATGAAAATTGAGTTTATGAATAAAAAATCTTACAGTTATGTATATGCCTCTATCTTCCTTTAAAATTGATAATCCATAGTAATTAAGGTTTAAGAAATGAGATTGACATAGATTTAAGTGCTTAATGGTTAGTGGTAGCCTTTATTTCTGCCACATGGAAGACACCGCTTTGTTTTTTTCCTTGTGTTGGCTGTTATTTCTTGAGCTGTGCTTGTTTTTTAGTTTAGTAGTTTGTATGTATCTGGGAAATAAAAAAGATGGAGGAGTCAATTCAATTAATTCAAAAGTCTAAAATAGACAATTAAAGTTATTTCTGTTAAATAAAAAACGTATAAAAGCTAAATATGCATAAAATAAGTGATTATAATAAGTAAAATTACACTTATAATTCAGCTTTTCTTCTTAATATAAGAATAAACATCCTTTGGACAGATAAGTTTTTGTTTTTTATAGGTTGAAGCAATGTTAAAGGAACCTCTAAATTTCTTAAAATTTTTGTTTGAAGCTATTTCTACCCATGTAAGAATCTAATAAATCAAGATATCAAGATTAAAAGAGTATGGGCTTTTATTCTGTAAGAATTATAGATATATCATGGAATTATTTTGTATCTAAACTGAGTCCTAAAATAAGTCATAGGTATTACAAGCTCATTGAAATAAGGGGCCAAATAAATTTCACATTACTTCAGTTGTAATATGAAGTCTTTTTTCACCATTTAAAAAATTGTCTATCTTTGCCCATACATAAGCAATTCACAGTTTAAATATTTGAGAGCCACTTTTTAAAAATCAGAAGTCAAGATTTAAATGTGGTATGTATATCTTTTTTTGCCCTTTTTTGTATTTGTTGTTCTTAATAAGACCCCAATATTTGAAATTTCATTGCTATAAAATATATCAATCAAAGGAAGAAATCACAGAATATTGGGTTATCTTTAAAGGATTTTCTCTCTCTAAATTGTACACTACATAGGGTGGAGCAAAAGTAGGTTTACAGTTGTGAGTACATGAAACAGAAAGTTTATTCTTATATTATTTTTATTAATTATTGTATTATTTTCCATACGAACAACTGTAAGCCTACTTTTGTCCCACCCTGTTTTGAGAGCTAGCAGGACTTGGGATTCTCTCTAAGTGGATGTAGGAACCAGCACATGTCATCCTGAGTGACACCCTTTCACTGTCCACCACTACCATCTATAATAATAAAAGGGTAATATGCTAATTAGACCAGACATCCTTCCGGACGACCTTCTGGATGAAGCCAGAGCTGCGAGGGAAGTCAGGGTCCGGGGTGCCAGAGGGAAGCCAGTGCCGGCAGCCAGGGGAAGGAAAGCCTACTCTTGCACAAATTCCGTGCATTGGGCAGAAAAACCACAAAAGCATAGGCACAGACTAAGCAGTGTATGTGAAGGCCAGGGGATTATTGTGTGTGGGCATTTGTTATTTTTTGGCCACAATGTTTTCCTCTGGTGCATAACCTCTGGCCCATGGTGTGCATCTGGGCGGGGCTCTGTGAATAAACTGAGTACTCAGCGCTAACCTAGCTGGCTTTGGTGGCAGCATGACAGAACAGGTAAAAGAAGGGTGGGCACCTCCATTATCATCAGAGCCCTGATGACATGCGCATGAGGTTCCTGCCAAGGCCACTCCTGGTTCTCCAACCTTCTCTTCAATTCTACAAACTCAGCCCCTAAGTGTACACATGTATGCATGGGTACACACACACACACACACACACACACACACACACAGTAGGTATGTTGTGGGAGGCTGCTGGAAGAAGTTTCATTCGTAAGTAACTCACTCACTGTCAAGCTAGCGTCCCAAAGAACTTTAGAATAGTAAGCCTGGGCCACCACCTGCAGCATGAGGTTCCTGCCAAGGCATAGGCTACAATGTGACTAAACCGTGCAGTGTACAATTTACACAACTGTATGTAACAGCCTAGTAGGTGCTACACACACACACACACACACACACACACACACACAGTAGGTATGTTGTGGGAGGCTGCTGGAAGAAGTTTCATTCGTAAGTAACTCACTCACTGTCAAGCTAGCGTCCCAAAGAACTTTAGAATAGTAAGCCTGGGCCACCACCTGCAGCTATGAAGGTGATGCGCTGCACATAGGCTACAATGTGACTAAACCGTGCAGTGTACAATTTACACAACTGTATGTAACAGCCTAGTAGGTGCTCTATAAATATTGGTATAACTGTGGTATGAAAGAGAGAGGGTTTGGCTGTGTTGGCTAACCTAAGAAAGCAGGTTGGGAAAGAGTGTGATGAGGGAGGCAAAGAGGAAGAGGAAGAATGAGAATGAAAGAAATCACGTAAAAGCAGCTTCAAGTAATTCCCTTCCAGTGCCTTTTCCGAGGCTCCCTCTTTTCCTGTGGACTTAGAGCAGAAACCACAACCAACCCTCAACATTCCAGGTCCCCTCTATTGTCACTACAGTAGAAGCAATAAGGTTCAATGTGAAAAGATTCGATTTTTTGACAACTTTTTGTGAAAGTGTCGTGTCTGTCCTTTATATCTATAGGGATTTATAATTGTAAAAAATTACCTGTAGGTTGTCTTACATGTCTTTCATCCATTGGTCTTTGCTTTTTCTGTTTTACTTTCCTCTCCTCACATCCGTTCCCCTGAGAAAAGGGGAGACAGATGAGGCACAAGTTCGAGGAAATTAGAAGAGGCTTTGACATGAGGGGAGAGAGACAAAGGGCAAGAAGGAAAATAGTGGGGACAGGGGAAGAGAGAGGGGAAGTGAAGAAGAAAGTAAAAAGTCACAAGCAGGAGAGAAAAAAGCACAGAAAGAGAGGGAACGTATTCTGGGTCTTAAATTCAAATGATGTGCCAGCCATCTCATCAAAAATGTCTTTATTCTTTCCAATGGAGCCTGTTGTTAAGTTTCACAAACAGGTTTCCTTTAGGGTCCTCCCACCCTTTCTCTTTTTAGCCTCGGTTTTATCAGCACAAAATGACCCTGCCCATTTAGGATTCTGAGGAATTTGATTCGTAATTGGAAAAGAAAGGCTAGTGGGGATGGGGAGGATGCTCCCAGTATTTCATAAGAATTTTCCCCTCTCTTCTTTCCTTGAATCTCTATTCTTTGTCTCATTCCTTTACACATTTGGAAAATACCATAGGTTCACAGATAAACCGATTTTTTTTTCAGCAAAGTTAAAGAGAAGAAAGGCTAGGAAGATAAGACATTGAAAGTCAAGAAGGAAGAGAGATGGACCCAGATCCAGAGAGACAAGGTTAGCCTAGGCCCTAGGCCCTGCCTCGTAGCCTTTTTGTAAAAATGCATTTGAAGTGCCTCTTTACTCAAAATCTTACTGAGAAAGGAGAAAAAGTGTGATTCCTTCAAACTGCTGAGAGATTTGAGAGAGATGAATTAGAAACCACGCCTGCAGCTGGCCATTGCCCAGCAGTGGGGTGAGTGAGAATCTGAGAGGTTAATAGGAACAGGGGTTCGTTTTCCTGCAGTGGGAGCACTCATTATTCGGGCTTCTACCTAGAGTAGAAATAGGGTAGAAATCAGATTTACAGACTCAATTTTAGTCTACACTCAGTCTAAATTCAACGAGGGGTTATGATTCCACGAATCTTTGCTTTTCTTGGGGGAAAGAGTGCTTAGCGTGCGTAAGAGGGGATGAAAGGGGAAAAAGAAGTGATTCAGAGCAGTGTGAAAAAGGGGAAAGAAATGCTAATCAGAGGGAAAATTGAAAAACTATACAATCCTAAGTAATGAAAAATGGAAAGATCGAGGAAAGAAAAATGGAAAGAATGAGAAAGTACATGAAAGAAAACAAACAGGGAAAAAAATTAATACTTTTGAGAAACCTGCATGCCAGGCTTGCATCCTATACTGTCCTTGGGACTTAACAAGCTCAGAGTGGAATTTTGCTGCCCGGGGGCTGTTCTTTGCTTTGCTCCTCATTCCCAGAGCCCTGTTCTAAGCTGCCTCTATATTTACAAAGATGGGCCACCAGGACCACAAACATATCAGCTTATGAAGTCCTAACAGTGGAAAGGGCCCCGAGACAGCTAACCATGCCCCTCCCTCCCCCACCCATATGCACACACATTTGACAGTTGAGAAAGCTGAGGCCCAGAGGGGTTGAATATGAAACAGAGGAAGTGCAGTTAGAGGTCAAAGCTAGGGCTTTTGATTCTAAGTTCAGGGTTTGATAGTTGACTTCTTCACTTTCCCAAACTCTTCCAATTCCTTTCCCAGCTTGTATCATGGACTCACTCCTTTCTAGTCGTGTTGCCTCCCAAGCTGCTGTCTTCAGTTTTTTGTGGTTTGTTTTTTCTCTTGCCCCCACAGTAGTCAGTCCATAAGTCTTGCTGACTACATATTCATGTCCTTTTTATCTCACAGCTTCTTACCTGGTTCAAACCTTGGCACCCTTCACCTGGACTATTAGGATTTCCTATCTCTACTCTGCTCCAGCTTCTCTTAGAAATTGCAATTGTCCTAAAACATAACACTAATTTTGTCCTTTCTGCCTTTCCATGGCTCCTCCTTTCCGACCAAACAGTGATGTCCACACTCCCTAGCATGGTGCAGGACCTCCACAGGCTGGCTCCTGCCTTGCATTCTGGCTGCATCTCTCTCTGTTCCTGTTATTGACCATGCCCAGCACTATCCCACCCCTTTGATTTTGTTCACACCATTCCCTATATCCAGGATATTCTTGCTTCCCCCTTTCTAACTCAAAGACTGCCTCCTTCATAGAGTCTTTCATGATTTTCTCTCTCTCCTTCTTGAGCTAAAAGTAGGTCTTCCACTTTTCTCTGAAAGCTATACTATCACAAATTTATGTTATTTATGCACCAATATGTGTACGTATTGTTATTTATTTCGTTTTGATCTCTCCCAGAGCCTGCCAGTACTTCATATATAATAGATAGGCACTGGATGCTTGTTCAGTTGAACAAAATTGAGTTTGTGCCAAAAGACAGGTGAAGGAATCAGTCACATGTAGGGTGAAGATAAAAATGCTGATTTCCTACATTAATTTAAAATGTCCTTGGCTTAAATAAGGAGCATTTCAGAGTACATGGAGAATGTACTAATTATGTGCTAATGTACTATGCGTTAGTGATAAGGCTGCTGCTAGATTGACCCTTCCCTAGAGAACGAGAGGAAATATTTGCTGATTGGACATCTCTGGAATTTCTACAAATTCACTTTGATTTCTTTTTGAAATACAATCTGGGGTAGAAATTGATAGATAAAAGTTCTATATACTGCAAAGGAGATTTTGCATTTTTATTATAAACTACGATAACATTTCCCTACGATAGTCTCAGATTCAATACAGTGGATTGTAACATAGGTGAAGCCACATGAGGTGAAGTTGATCTGGTACTTGGACCCTAATGCCTGGTGGGAAGGCCCGGAGACAAATTCCTCTTGTATAAACACCTATCCTCTAATTATTTGCTTTTTTGAGGAGGATTTTTGCAAATGTGACTACAAATATCTTTCAAGTGTTGGTTTTTAAAGCAGAAGTATCCCTCCCCCTCCCCTCCACTTAAGTCCAGCGAAATGTGCCTCTATGTTCCTTCCATGACATTCTTTTATGCGCATGACTGGAGCTGAGGTCTGCTCCACCCCCACGGTAACTCAGAAGTGGGTCAGCAGCAAGCCAGGGAAGAGCTCTCCACTGGTGCCTATAGGACGACCTCCACGTCCAAAGCTTGGGTTACAATTTTAAAATCCTGAGACATGAGAATTTGTGAAGAAAAAACTGCCAAACAAAACACTAAATGGAATCACCTGACAGCAAAGCAGAGGCCCAAGCTGAAAGCAGGAAGAAAAGGGGGCAATGACTTCAGATTTACCAAGCCATGTACTTGTGGACCACTTCCCTTTCAAATCAGCAAGGACGAGAGGCCCAATTGTTTGGGTTCTGCCTGCAGAGCTAGCCTGGGAGTGGTTCCTGCCCAGGGAGTTAGATACGGGGAACTGGGAAACCGAACCCTACCAGCACAGAAGAATGTGAAGCGAGGCCCCCTACGTGAAAGGCTCTGGGCAAGAGTTTCTTAGCGCAGGACTCAGAAGGGAGCAGAGGTGGGAGAGGGAATGCATTAACACATCTCGCTTGATTCCTTCGCTCTTAACTACTCTGCTCCAGGACCCAGAGGGCACTACCAGATACCAGGGATCACAAAGAAATGTAGTGGAATCTGTTCCTTACCTGAAGTGTTTGAATCAGTCCTCATGCTCCTGTAAAAATAAACAACACATTTCAAAACATTTGCTAGTGTAACCACAAATATCTAGAAAAGCATTACTGGGTGTGAGGTAGCTGCCCATTCTCGAAATGCTTTGTAGGTAGTAACGAAACGTGTTTGGTACATCTATGGCATTGTTGATTATAAAGCATATTAAAGTAAAATTACCTAAATTTCTCTAACATATAAGCTATCCCACCTGCAAAAGCCATATTAATAACATATAATCTATTTTTATTACCTGCCACTCAATGAGGCTGGGGTATCCTTTCCCTGCTTCCTCTCCAGCCCCTGAAAACTTACTTGGGGTTTAGACCGAGAGAAGCTCAGGGCTCACCCAAAAAGAGACGGGTGTGTTGGGAATTGTAGACTTTCATAGAGACCTAGGGATAGCTCCTAGAAAGGATGGGTGCCTGGGGTTAGAAGTTGTCCAACTCTGCTAGCTTCTTTGTCACAGTCTCTATGGCCCAGATGGGGGCCACAGAGCCTGGGAAACTTGCCAGCCCCCAAGATATGCCTTTTTGATATGTTGATTATTTTAAGCTGGTTATTTTTAAGAATCAAAAGATTCAGAAAGAACCTCTGAACCACCCCGCCCCAACCCCCTTACCTGCCTAAAGGAATTCAGACAGAAAAACCTACTCAAAGGAAAATCTGCTCGCCTTAGTGGCATGTGATCTAAGCGTGGCAGGAAGGAAGAAGCCAAGCAGAGTCAGGTTTTAGACTCCCCTCTGAGTCCCATTGTGTCTGGGTGTCCTGGCAAGATTTGTTTACCAAATGTGTGCTCTTTCTCATCCGTCTCTGGATTGCCCACTTTCCTTCTGATGTCCCAGGCGCCTGCCCTCCTTCTTTTGGTCTAGAATGGCATGTGAACCTGAACTGCCCAGTCTGTCCTAGAGTCCTCTATTCTTAGGGAGTCCCCACATGGACATATGTAATAAATTTGATTATTTTCTCTTGTTAATCTGTTTCATGTTAATTTGATTATTAGACCAGCCAGATGAACTTGAAGGGTAGAAGGAAAATTCTTTTTCCTCCCCAACACAGGTGAATAACATACACAAGTTATTATTTTTCTTATGGTGTAGTGGATAAAATAGGAGAGAAGCTGTCAGTTTTTCAGACTATTTCACTTTCAGAAATGTCTTTGGATAAAGAAGTTTGTTTTCTGCACTCCTAATTTTAAAAATTAATAACAATAATGAAAATACTTATTTTCTTAACCTCATTGGCATGCTAAAACATAAACCTATGTCACTTAATTTTCACTAAATCTGTTTCTTCATCACATTTTCAATAATATTTTGGAACTTTTGCTGTTTGAGCAAAAGAAAGTATTTCAGAAAAATAATTGCCCTTAGATAATATATTCACAGATAAGTACAAAGACATAATTATGATCCATTTCAAGGGTTCTGGCAAATGCATCCAGTTTAAATTCTAATGGATCTTTCCAAAGTAAAGGTTAAGTTAGTAATTTTCTGAGGAGTTTGCAAATAAATGTTCACAGAGCCTGAACTAAATAGGTCTGGTGATTTAAATGAAGGTTAAGCTTAATGACAAAAGTTTTCAAGAGACTGAGAAATATCAGGTAAATGTACTTTAAATAGGTGTAAATTAAAATAAAGCCTGCCATTATCCTCCATACAGCAAAGGGAAGAGTCACAGTATCGCAATTATCAAGGTATGAAAAGGAATATAAATGCTTTATAAAGTAAATCCTTCACTTCGGAAGGACCTAAAGTGACATTATAGACGGCTCCATACTCTTTCACTCATCTAGATTGAAATTGCTGAATTTACATTTTAAAGAGTAATGAATTTGAGGACAAACTATCTAACAAGGTCATTGTTTAATTTTTTTTTCATGTTCCAAAGTGCATGGTTATAAAGTGTCACTGAAATCCATGGTCTGGAAGATGAAAAATATGTAGCTCTTATTTATCACTCTCACAATGTCCTGACGCAATCCCACAAATCCTGCAATATCCTACAGATGTCCCAGGAACAAAGCACCAGCCAATTCCATTCTATTCTTAGATATTACACCTATCATTCATAATGAACATTTTAAAATTAGGCTCCAGCAAGTAATTATGTTCCTGATGCAAACTGGCAATAAAAAAGAACCCAGGCTTGATTAAATTGGGATTAAGAGGATTACTTAGAACCAAAATTTGTTTTTGCTTTGTGTTTTAAAATTTATGTATTTACTTTTCTCCCTTGTAGAGTCATCAGATAATGACTCAGGAAGCTGAGAGACTGGAGGGCAGGCCTTGAAGAATTTCAGATGTGCTAACCTTCAAGAGTCCTTTTATCGCTAAAATTCCATAAATTTTTACTATTTATATAGGGATTTTGTTTCCTATTTCTAATAGGGATCATAATAGTGAGACTAACAACAATTTGCAGAGCATTTTTCATCATATTTTTTAGCTCACAATTTTAATACTTTAAAAAGCCAATAAAAGCCAATCTAATGCTCAAAGGATTTTTTGGGCAGTGAGACTATTCTGTATGTCATGGTGGGTACATGTCACTATGCATGTGTCAAAACCCATTGAACTCTACAATACAAAGAGTGAACCCTAAGCTAGGGACTATAGTTAATGATAACATATCAATATTATTTTTTAATTCCAACAAATGTACCACACTATGCAAAGTGTCAATAAGGAAGTCTGGGGGTGGGGGAAGGGTGACAGAATGGCATGGGGTGGGTGTATGGAGCTCTCTATCCATTTTTCTGTAAATCTAAAACTGTACTTAAAAATAAAGTTTAGCCCTGACTGGTTTGGCTCAGTGGATAGAGCGTCAGCCTGAGGACTTAAGGGTCCTGGGTTCGATTCCAGTCAAGGGCATGTACCTTGGTTGCAGGCACATCCCCGGTAGGGGGTGTGCAGGAGGCAGCTGATGGATGCTTCTCTCTCATCGATGTTTCTAACTCTCTCCCTCTCCCTTCCTCTCTGTAAAAAAATCAATAAAATATATATTTAAAAAAATAAAGTTTATTAATTATTCATTTTATTAAAAGGCACTAAAAGCTAATCTAACGGCAAGGAAAGAAGTTGAAATGATTTAAATAGTTAACTTACATATTTTTTTCTCTTTTGAATCCAAATTTCAGAGCTCCTGGTCATTTAGAAACAATTCCTGAAGAAGTCTCCCTAGAGTTGAAGCCAATAGATTGTCCTGTGGCTCTAAAGGGGCTCCTTGTTTTGGATATCGGGACTGAGAACAAGCCCTCAGGAGAAAGGAGCCCTTGCTAAACTGTACTTTGTATGTAGAACTGCTTTTCATAACGCAATGGTTCTCAAATGTGAGCATGCACTGCAACCACCTGGAGGTCTAGTGCAGCACAGAATGCTGCGCCCACTCCAGAGTCTATGCTTCAGTAGGATGGGGCGGGGGCCTGAGAATTTACCTCTCTCACAAGTTCCCAGGAGACAGTGCTGACACACACTGAGAACCACTGGTGTAGGAACCCTGGATATTAAGCGGTGCTTTGCTTGAGCAGACAGCCCAAAGTACAGAAATCATCACCCCCTGACGCCTGAATACCTTGGCACTTGGACCCAGAGGCTCTAGAATTGCTAGAAATGCACAGTCCAGGGGCTAAATGCACATGACTCTGATTCCCATAATCCTTTGATTCCCTTGACCTGTACTTAGCTAAGAAAGGTGAAAGAAAAAGCCAGATTTGAGTACCAAGTACTTAATTCTTACTTGGTTAAGATATTGTTGAGTAAGATTTTTTTTTGACAGAATACCCAACTTCCTTTTACGTAAACTATTGGGAATGAATGATCAGCGACAACAGCGATCATTTACTGAGCACCTACTGTGGCCCAAGCTCTTGACGTACTTTTAGTGCTCTGCTTCTAGAGCCCTACAACCCACTGGATGTGTTTCCTGTTTCTGTCCCAGCGCTGTCCTTTAAGGACTCCCCAGAGCAGAGCTACATTTGCCTTCACCATGCGGTCTCTTGTTTATTTAGCAGTAGATTAAAATTACATAAGAATTATGAGAAGGTCTTGATCCCTGGCAGGAGAATAATGTCTAAAGTCTAGCCAGGACAAAGGTCTTAGTGTTTATTTTTGACAAATTTCCAAGGACAAAGACACCACAACCTCCAAAACCAGTTCTGTTGTTTATTAATATCTAATCAGTGATACGTACTAATGTATTGTTCTTTATTGATTGGTTGGCTGTCTGCTATATTACTTTGCTGTATAACAAATTTTTCCTTTGTGATTAGTTAAAATGATTTTCATTTTAAATTTACTTTTTAAATTTAGCCTTCTGTGGACTTCTCATACATTGGTAATTGTCACCTATTGGCATTTTCCGCCTCTGTTTAAATAACCTTTTTTTTTTTTTTTTTTTTTTTTTTTACTGCATAAATTTTGTGTTTTTCTCCAGTTCTTCTCTAGGTTCAGTGTATTAGCTAGTGTAGTGGGAACATTACTTTGAAGGTACTCTGTGGTATAAAATCATCTTTGCATTATATTCAATGCAAGTCAAATCTGTATTAGATTTGTTTAGTCTAATGTACAATCTGAACCCTTTCTCCCTCCCCTCCCTTACTATGTTACTTCCTCCTCCCATTCCCTTCCCCATTTTAATTTGTCTATTTTTTTTGAAGCAATTACCATTGCTCACAGTGACTGGCATTGTGGACTTTTTAATATCAGTTTTTTAAATCCCTACAGCAACTCAGCATGGTCAGCGTAATTCTCATTTTACAAGTAAAGAAACTGTGACCGGAAACATCACAAGCAGGTAAGACTAGAAGAGCCAGGATTGGAACCAGGGTTGTCTGACTGCAAAATTCAGTCTCTAACTGCTATGTCTTCCAATTAACGCATCCTAGCATCAGTTTGATTTTTACATTATATATGTAATCCATTGTCTAATAAAAGTATAATAGAAACATGTGTTAATAGCTACAACAAATATCAATTTATTTAATCACCAACTATGCCTAAACTCTTTGGTTTCTTACCATCCTTATTGTAAAAATAAAATACTATTATATATACATTTTTTGGAATTTTACTTTTCTAGCTTATAAGTTCTTTTTAGTCATACAGTGCTTTTCATTGAAATTTCCCCATTGCTTTTCCTAATGGGGACCTGCTGTTTCACTAAATTAACATATTATTTCCTATGTAGCCATTTTTATCCCTGCAGTTCTTTGGATTACTTACAAGTTTTAACTACAAGACACTATGTTCAAATAGGTTATTTAAAAAAATTATTTCTTTGACACATGTTCCTCTATGTCAAGGGCTGTAATTGTCTCTAGTGTGAGTTGCCAAATCACTTGTAGACAGGTCCCACCATTTACAATGACATCATCAGTGTTAGAAACATCTAATAAAAACCCAGTAATTGCTTAACTTGTATTTTTAAAAATTATTAGTGAGATTGATCCCTCTTCAAGTATTGATTTATTTTTGTCTTCTGGAGTCAATTTTTCATTCATACCATTTATTCATTGGATTCTTTACAAATTCTCATTAGCTAAATATATGGTAGGAACAACCTTTATAGATTACCTGTTGTGATTATTTTCCCATTGTGTTATGTATTTATTTATTTAAAATTATTATTTGGCAGGTATTTATAACTGTTATACAGTCAGTCAGCTTGGAACTCTATTTCCCCAGAGCTCCATTCCTGCTCATATCAGAGAAGCCATCCTGACCACCTGTATAAAAATCTCTCTTCCCTCCTCAAATCATTCTCTATTCTGTTACTTTATTTTTTTTAATCACAGCCCATTTCAGATCTCATGATATATTTTATTATCTATTATCCTCCACTGGAATAAAACACTCCATGAGATAGGGACTTGATTATTTTCACTGCTGTGTTCCTAGGGCCTAGCACATAGACGGTGCTCAGTAAATATTATTGAATGAATGAACTTTGCCACTGAAAATTTCTTCTGTTGCTTCAGTGACCAAGAAATGAACTTTTCTCTGAGACTAAGGCAATGCTACCATTCCATTTTCTTCTAGTTTATTTTAGTTTTACAATATTTTACTCTTTCCATTTGAAATTTTTTGTGCGGTATGACATAAATCTCTAGAATTTTTCTCTTTTGTGCTTCTTTTGAACCCATATTAGTTACATTTATTTTTCAAACTTTATTTATATATTCTAAACTTGGCACTAGTGTTTCTAGTGGCTATCTATACTAATAAAAGGGTAATATGCTAATTAGACCGGGAGACTTTCCGGGAGCCTTCGGATGTCCTTCCGGACAAAGCCATGGTGGTGGGGCTGAGGCAGAGGCGGTTAGAGGCGATCAGGCTGGCAGGGGGAGAGGTTGGGGGTGATTAGACTGGCAGGGGGGGCAGTTGGGGGCGATCAGGCTGGCAAGCAGAGTGGTTAGGGGTGATTAGGCAGGCAGGCAGGTGAGTGGTTAGGAGCCAGCGGTCCTGGATTGCGAAAGGGATGTCTGACTGCTGGTTAAACCGGCAGTCGGATATCCCCGAGGGGTCCCAGATTGGAGAAGGTGCAGGCTGGGCTGAGGGACACCCTACACCCTGTGCATGAATTTCGTTTAATTACAATGTGGCTTAAGATTTTATAGAACCGACTCCCTCTAGACACTTTCCATCCCCAAAAGTTTACTTGATAATCTTACCCCTATCTTTTCCACATAAATTTTATAATTTCTATGAGATATCCTATTGAGATAAATTGGTATTGTTTTAAATCTATAAATCAATCTAGGAGGCCCTGTAATATTTGCTGTCTTAAATCTACCAGCCCAGAAAGAGATCTGAGTTTTCCTTATTCAAGTTGTTGTTTAGTTCTGCCATTAAAGTTTTGTAATTCCAGATATATAGATCTCTTCTCACTTCCACTAAATATTTGATTTTTATCATTGTTTATGAAAAATACATTCTGTTTTTTCAATGCATTTTTTATTTTTTTAAAATAAGACATTAACAGAATTATTTTGTGTAAGTTTATTTTATACCTATGACATTCTTAAACTTTTTTTACAAACTAATATTTTTAATGAATCTCAAATTTTCTAAATGTGAATTTCCATTTGCAAAGAGTGATTTTTAAAATCTTATATTTATTCTTTGACTTCTTTGCCCTACTATACTTCCTCTTAAATTATATTTTATAGAAATGTTAATGGGAACATAATTTAAGAACAGTTGCAAAATTTCTTTATTAAAATAATGTCTCTGATTTGGAGTAATTGTTCTTTACTGTGCTAAAGGAAAATTCTTCTATATTTTGTGTCTTTATTAAGAGCATCAAAATCTCTCAAATGCATTTAAAGTGTCATGACTTTTCTGCTATTCGAAATTCAAATAATGACTTCTATTGACAGTTTCCTTAATTTGGTATTATTTGCTATATTTTGCTTCTTAAGGGCCAATGAATTTAGCATTTATTGCCACAGGTAGGATTAATCTAGAATTTTTTTTCTTGTGCTGTCTGCCAGGCTTTACAATCCAAATTATTTGTTTCATAAAATTAGGAAAATAAAACATTTTTTTCTATATTTAAAAGATTACAAACATCTGCTAGATGATTTTGAGTGTCCAAAAACTGTCAGAACTATGTCCTTTTCTTTTATGGGAGCTCTTTGATAAAAACTTTCTGTTTTCAAGTTTCGATTGTGCCAGTTTTGCCTCTTTGTGTTTTTGTTAAAGTCATCTATTTAATTTAGGGTTTCCAAGCTATTAAAGCAAAGTTGTATATAATCTTTCTCAATAACAATTTGCTAATCTTCCTATTAGCTGATGTGACACCTTTCAAGTTTCCAATTTTGCCCTTTAAAGAAAAAAAGTTGTATGGTGGTTTGCCCTTTTTTGTTGTTTATTCTTTTTGAAGAATCAACCACAGTTTCTATCACTTTAAATTACTTAAAATTTGTATTGTTTATTACTTTTTTTAGTTTTGTTTTCTTGTTTCCCCCTGTTCCTTTTTACATTAAAAAAAACTTATGAGCCCCACTGGCATGCCTCGGTGGTTGAGTGCTGACCTATGAACCAGAAGGTCATGGTTCAATTCCTGGTCAGGGCACATGCCCAGGTTGTGGGCTTGATCCCCAGCATAGGGCGTGCAGGAGGCAGCTGATCAATGATTCTCTGTCATCATTGATGTTTCTCTCCCTCTCCCTCTCCCTTCCTTTCTGAAATCAATACAAATATATTTTATAAAAATAAAAAGAATTTAGACATGATTCATTGCATCCCTTGTTTTCATTATTGCTAATATAAATATTTAGATCCAAATTTTCCTCTGGTTTCTTTTTAGGCATTACTCCAGAATGACCAGATTAACTTTAGTCTTTATAATACTGTAGTACTCTCTCCCATTCATCTTGCAATTGGATATTAAAGTTATGAAAATAGTTTTTTTTTCAGATTATTAAGTTATTAGTTGGAAATGTAGAAGAGTGTGAGGGAAATGTGGAGGAGAAAAGATAGAGAAGTATAAAGATAAAAGAAAGAGCACCCATCATCACTCTAGAAATCCAGGCCCCCTAACTCCCAAAGGTGGACCCTACCATTCTTGTTTATTTTCTTCAGCACACACAGTGACACCGGGCAGGCAGCCCAGAATGGAAATAAAATTTAGATGAGATTGAACCAAAATCGGGTAATTAAGAGTTGACGATGTCATCATTCGATTATATTGTATCTATGCCCGAGACTCCAGCAACAAACGCCCGAGTTGCAGGGATCTTAAAGCGTCCACTCATTTACTTTACCTCCCATCGCGGCACCCCCGGGGCCCCCCTGCCTCACGCACCTGGATTCTCCAGCCTTGAGAGCCGTGCTTATTTCCGAGGTCCTGTCATTCTTCTCTTCGCAGGCATCTGGCTCACTCTCTACTGGCGTCAAGGTCGTTTGGAAACATCTTTCACCTTCGAAAGTCAGTGTTACGTTTGAGATGGTGACGTGTTTCGAGAATTCTTTGAGCTCATTCTTACTCTTTGTATCTCGTAGACACCCAGGCTTCAGACATTTTTCCAGTTTTTCCTTTGAAAATAATAAGCAGCAGCAAATCAGGTGACAGGAGAGCATCATCGAGAAGTAGATGACTCATGGAGCCATATCTAAAACAGCAATCATTTCATTCAGACTTACTCGATGCACAGGCGCAGTGAGGAGGGACTGACGCTTGCTGTCGCATGGCCCGTGGGGAGGCCAGGTGGGTGTTGGGGGCTGGCAGTGTGGGGACCCAACGCAGCACATTGAAAAGCACATGTGGTCATGTACTGAAGTCACCTCTAAATGACAGTATTTCCTCTCCCCGAATTGTCAGGGAAAGGAAGGTTTTCTAGAAAGGCCTTTCTAGGTACTCCCCAATCTGAGGCTGTCCTTGGTTTAAGAGCATCTAATAGGTGAGAAACTACCTAAACCTTAATACCCTAAAATCCTCCCGTTCTAATTTCCTGGTTTCTGTTAATGCAGCACCTCTCTGAGTGGCTCGCTGCCTTCCTGGGACTCGAAGGCTCAGAGCAATGGGCTGGCAGGTTCTGAGTACTGTGTCTCTCTAGCATCGCCTGCGTCTGCACCAACTAGTCCATCACCTCTGTTACCTTTCCTGGAAAGTTATTTTCCTCTTAAAAACTTCATTTTAAGTCTGACAATGAAAGAAATACATATTTATTATAGAATAATTTAAAAAATACTATCCTATATAATAAAAGGCTAATATGCAAATTGTCCCCTGGACCAGGAGTTCAAGCAGGAGTTCAACCAAGTGGCAGGGCTGGCAGCCAACTGCCCGCGGCCCCTCTCCCCAGCTGGCCCAGCCCCATCGGCCCCTATCAGGGAGGGCTGGCTGGACCCCACCCGTGCATGAATTTGTGCACCAGGCCTCTAGTAATATTTAAAGTAAAAGGAAGAAAATTATTGCCAGCCTGATGCCACTGGCCAGAAATAACCACTCCTCTGGCACATTTCACTCGGTCCCTGTGCCCATTTATTTACTTTGTATGTGTGTGTTCTGTGACCATATTTCTGTTTCATATGCTACATTTTTCACTTAATGATTTATTATAAACATTTTCCTTATATCATTAAAACTTGAATTCTTCTAATTAAAAATGAATCCTTTTGTTGTAGGAAACAGTAAACTCAGAAAAGTGTGAAGAAAACATGAATTGCTTATAATCCCCCAATCCAAAAATAAACTGCTATTAATAATATGACTTTCCCCCTTCTATTATCTCTGTACCGTACGGATCACATTCTTCATTTTTTACTCAACTTTATATCATGAAGATTTCTCCAAGTAAAGAATAATTCTTCAACAATTTTAATAGCTACAGAGTATTCATTCATTTAACAAATATTTACTAAGTGTCTATGAACTTGCCAGATACATACTACAGTCATTCCTGAATTAGACAAATATGGGGCCTGCCCTGCATGGATTTAAATGGATTTAGCCATTTTCCCTGTAGTGTACATTTAGGTTACTTTCATATTTTCATTTTTAGAAACATGGTATGAATGTGGAATGATTAGCATCTTTATAGCTAAATCATCATTCCTATTTCTGTTTAATTCCTTTAGAAAGATTCCTAGAAGTGGAATCACTGAGTCAAAGGGTATATTTTAAGGTTTGTAGTAATTTTCTTTTCTTTTAAAAAAAAATATTTTATTGATTTTTTTACAGAGAGGAAGGGAGAGGGATAGAGAGTTAGAAACATCGATGAGAGAGAAACATCGACCAGCTGCCTCCTGCATACTCCCTACTGGGGATGTGCCCGCAACCAAGGTACATGCCCCTGACCGGAATCGAACCCGGGACCCTTCAGTCCACAGGCTGACGCTCTATCCACTGAGCCAAACCGATTAGGGCAGTTTGTAGCAATTTTCATCCCTACCATAAATCTATGTGAATTCCATATTACCACAGCTTCACTAACATGGACTACTTTTATTCTTTGGAAGGCAGCTATGCTCACCACTATACCACCAACGCCACACTACTTTTATTCTTTTAAGTAACAGTTTTACAGGTTAGATTCTTTCTAAATTTGAATTTCTTTGATTATGAATGAGGTTAAACTTTTCCATTGTATTTACTGGAAGTTTCTTCTTCTGTGAAACTTCTTCCTTGCCCGTTGCCATTTTTTTTTTAAAAAAAATTGTGGGCCCCCTGGGCTTTTCTGCAGTAGTCTTCAAATTGATTTCTTTGCCTACAATCCATTCTGCCATCAAATTAATCTTTTAAAAACACAGCTCCTTGCCCTGGACGGGTGGCTCAGTTGGTTGGGGAGTCGTCCCATACACCAGAACGTTGCAGGTTACATCCCCAGTTGGGGTACATGCAGGAGACAACTGGTGGATATTTCTCTCTCACATCAATGTTTCTCTCTCTCCCTTTCTCTCTCCAAAAATCAATTAAAAAAAAAATCTCAGTCTTAAAAACACACACACACAAACCACAGCTCCTTCACACCCTTACAGAAAGGGCTATTGTGGCTAAGGTATGCCCAAAGACCGAAATCCACACTTCTTATTTTGGCATTCAAGGTTTGCAAGCAATTTTTCAATTCTGTATCCTATTATTCTCCACATATATTAAGCTCCAGCCGAACAGGACTAACCATTCTTGGATATGGCTCTGCGTTTTTCTACTTTCTGGCTTTTTCTATAGCCACTCACTTCTTTTGGTATTTTAATTTCTATCCTCACTTTTCCCTACTGAAGTTTCATCCCATCCTTCAATGTACTGTATCCTTTTATATACATTTAAACCTTAAAATAGCCCTTACATGATATTCATATTCTCATCCTAGAGATGAGGAGACTGAAGCTCATGCAGGTTCAGTGACTTGGCCAAACCACGCTGCAGCAGGGCAAGATTCCAAGCCAGGTCTCTGACTCTGATCCCAAAGTTCTTCCCATCCCACCATAGCTTTCTGACATTGGGGTGCGTTTGGTGGTAAGGATGGTCACTGCCTATTTCAAGAGACACCTGACAACTCCTTTACACCAAGGATCAGATCTCATTATTAAAATTAGAACAAGTTCCATGGCGTTTTGATAATCACCATCAGGGAACTAACCAAGAGGAGCCATCTTGGTGATCACCCTTGTTCTTGATGACTAAAGAATGAAAGTCTTCCATGTCACATACCTTTTCCTCCTGCTTGGCCCTTAGTATGTCATCATTTTCAAATACCACTCTGACCCCCGAGCTGTTTGTGCCGTCATGGAGGTCTGTGACTTCTGTGACTTCTGTGAAAATGTTTACATCTGGGGCCTCAGTGACCTCCTGCTCTGGAACATCCGTGACATCCGTGACGTCGGTGATGACTGTTAATTCTGAGAAATCAGTGCTCTCCAGGCCGTACACATGGTCTGAATACATGTACGGATGGGAAGTCTGTACAGCCGTGAATTCTGCGATATCCATGATGTCCATCGAGCCCGTGATGTCTGTGCTATTTGTGAGTTCCGAGAGGCTCGAGACTTCCGACACTCTGGAAACTTTGGCTTTCTCCTGGTTCAAGAGGGCGATGAGCTCTATCCACTGAGAAAACAAGGCGTCCTGTTTGCATGCGGGGGCGCAGAGCTGGAGGTAGTAGGCTCGACCACTTGCCAGCTTCACTTTGAGGCGCATTTTCTCAGCATCGTGCACAGACAAAGTCACAAACTGCAGAGGGAGAAACCTGCAAACAGACGCAGAGGTCACCTGGAGGCCAGATCGGAGGCCTCTCAGAAGGCCTTTCCTGTTACGTTTTATAGCAGTTTGTAGAGTGAGACTTAGGACAGTGATGGCGAACCTTTTGAGCTCGGCGTGTCAGCATTTTGAAAAACCCTAACTTAACTCTGGTGCCGTGTCACATATAGAAATGTTTTGATATTTGCAACCATAGTAAAACAAAGATTTATATTTTCGATATTTATTTTATATATTTAAATGCCATAGAAAAATCAACCAAAAAAAAAAAAAATGAGTTCGCATGTCACCTCTGACACGCGTGTCATAGGTTCGCCATCACTGGACTTAGGACAACAGGCTGGTCTCCCACACAGGCCTGGGTAGGGGCAGGCAGGGACCTGGCAGTGCCTTCCCCTGGCCACCAGGTCCCCAGGCTGGTCCTTAGTTTAGGAGGCTCAGAATGTTCGTTTTCAGTACATGTCATCAGGCTGCTGGGGGTCATCCCACCTGGGTCACACTTCTAAGACTCTGACATACTACAAAAATCAGAGAACCAGCATTTACCACGAGAAACTGTCCTGTGTCATCCTGCAGAGTTGAGACTTAGAGAAGGTGGGTGATTGGCTCTGGGCTGCACAACAAGTTGGTGGCTTGAGACACAACCAGAGCTAACTACTTCTGGTAGCAGTTAGGATGTTGCGGGGAGAGGGGCATGTTCTACAGAGGCAGTTTGAGTTTTTAGTTCCTGTTAATTAAGTTCAATTGAAATAAAAGTTTACCTCTTGTTTGACTGCCAGGTTGGCATAAGCCATGTCCCCAGTTTCGAGGGCATGGCTCTCATTTGCAGCAAGGAGCACAAGTGAGAGCAATTGCCCGGAGCAATTGTCATCGTTGTGTCCATTTTCAGCTCCTCGGGGACAAAGCCCATTTTCTGAAACATCCTTCACCTCTTCCCTTTGTAACTCACCTGGTGAGCACCAGTTTCTCTGGAGAAGATCTCAGGAGACTCTTAAACCGGGGTTCTCTGTCCTTCTGGGCCATGGGTGTGAGATGTGCTAGCAGCATCACGTTGGGGGTCTTGTGGGTGTGGCTGGAAGAGCAGATGGCAACAGCCACCCAGTTGGCTCGGTTATGAAGGTAAATGGATTCACCTCTTCTATTGACCTAAGGCAGAGAACAGGGAGAGGGGTTTTCTGATGAGGTGCATGGTCCCGACTACCTTGCTTACCTGTAGGAAACAGGAACAATGAACCATGTGATGCTATGTTCACTCACTCGCTCCTGTGACTTCTTGGAGCTCTCACAGTAAAAAGGCAGACATGGCTCCTGACTGTGGAGGTCTACCAGGGAAGTGAACACTGAACAACTATGCCACTCATTATTATTATTATTATTATTATTATTATTATTTAATCCTCATCTGAGGGTATGTTTATTATTTGTTTGTGTGTTTAGAGAGAGAGGGGAAGGGAGAAAGAAATAATAGGAATAATGAGTTTTGAGTATTTTTGCCTTTGTTGTGAATGTAATTTAATTGGAAAAATTTATAGGATTTAATTTTTAATAATGGCTGTGTTTAACAACCTCTGGCAAACTTCCTAAACACTCACCAATCGGCCAGTCCCAGGCACCCTGGCCATAGGGTCAGAGAAGTCTCCCCGAGAAAGGGACCTCACTGAGACCTGAACAAAGTGGCAGATAAATTGGCTGTGGGGACAGAACTTTTAAGCTGAGGAATTGCATGTGCAAAACCTAAGAATCTCAGCCAGTAAAATCTTCGCAGTTGGAAGAGGAGGAGACTGGAAAGTGGGTGGACAAGGATATGAAGGAAGCCAGAGAAGTTCCAAGCAAACTTGGTTTCTCAGCTGTATAATAACTGGCTCAAAAAATAAATCACTTAAAAACAAATATACTCTAAAAGACATCAGAACCCACGCTATTGATTATCTACCCAACACCATGCTCCTTTTCCGCCTGATGAGCAGAATTCTGGTTTTGTCTGGTACCCACCCCTCAGAGATGGTGTCCCAACTCAGGGGTTAAATTATGATTGACTTAGCCCAGCCAGTGTGGCTCAATACTTGAGTATTAAAGTCACCAGTTCAATTCCTGGTCAGGCCACATGCCCAGGTTGTGGGCTCAATCCCCAGTGGGAGGCATGCAGAAGGCAGCTGATCAATGATTCTCTCTCTCATCAATGTTTCTATCTCTCTCTCCCCCTTCCTCTCTCTAAAGTCAATAAAAAATATTAAAAAATTACGATAAACCAGTCATGCTGACCCATCCCCTTGCAAGCAATTGCTTTTAGCAGCAGCATGTGACCCAGGCCTGGCCAATGAGACACTAGTGGGGGCCTCTTGGTGGCCCTGGGAAAGGATTCCGAGTCCTCACAGAGTTGTAAGGATGAGAGGCATCTCTTTTGTTGCTGGCAGTCACTGTCTTGTTTGCATGTGATGCTCGGGGGGAGCTAACTTGAGGGTGACAGAGCAAAAGGAGGGAGCCTGGGTCCTTGACTCCTGGTGGGCAAGCTGATGCCCTGAGGCTCTGGCACTCTGTTTGAGATCATTGTTATTCTTTTTCATTTAAACTTGTTGACTCAGGAACCTTAGTAGCTTGCTGCATGTTGAAGGAAATAACCTTATCCAATTATGATATGGGGCCCTGGATGGTCTGTAGAATGCTAATTGGCCCCTACCCCCGTGTTCATGAGAGCATGCAAAGGTTATTTGAAAAGTGTGCAGGAAGAAATGTGAAAAAAAAGAATAGTAAGTACGAAGCACATGGAAAATAAAGTACGTACAATTATGACTTATTACACGTGTTCTGGGCAACACTGAAGCATCAGTGTTCTTTGAGGCATCACTTTCTGCCTACGGTTCTGGAGGGGAGGAGGTCTCCCGGGCTCCCAGGGGTCAGTGCAGAGAACGTGTTTATGGAAGATGAAGAAGTAAGTATCTGTGGTCATCTCTGTGGCATCAGCTGAGGAGCTGTTTGAATGGATACGTTTCATGTTAGACTTGGTTGTGGCATTTCAGTGAAGTTTAGAGGTACAGCCTACACCATTGAACTCATTTCCCTATTTCTTTGTCTGAATATATATATTTTTAAATATGTTTTAATTGACTTCTGAGAGGGGAATGGAGAGGGAGAGAGGGATAGAAACATTAATGATGAGAGAGAATCATTGATTGGCTGCCTCCTGAAAGCCCCCCGTTGAGGATTAAGCCCGAAACCTGGGCATGTGTCCTGACTGGGAATTGAACCCTGACCTCCTGGTTCATAGGTTGACTCTTAACCACTGAGCAACACTAGCCAGGTTTGCTTGAATATTTTAATGTTGAATGTTCAAAGGAAAGTTAGAACTGCTCCCAAATGCATTGAAATATAGTTTCATTCATAATGTAGATACATTTTTATGAAAGGAATTTTTTCTCCCTGACATAATTTGACAATTGTATTTCACCTTCAGAACTAAAATCCAAAATTCACTTTAAATCCCAGTTGTGTCATAGATGTTATTCTTTAAAATGTCTTCTAAATCTAAGAAAGGAATTATCAAAATGCTTTCCTGTGGCAGGATATCCTAAAAATGACTACCGTCTCTTCATGTAATTTTGAGCAGATTATGATAGAAAATTATGGTAGAGTGAGGACAGAATTCCTAGGTTAGAGTTGGGAAAATTTAAAATGAATTTTTACTTAACATTATAATTATTTTCAGTTGTCTAAAGTTCCAAAACCGTTCCCTTTAACTGTGTCACACATTCCACTGCCACGTTTAAAACAATTCCCCTCCCGACCTTTTCAGTCATCTTTGAGTAAGTTAATGACTGAAATTATTGTAACATAATTCAGGGCTGGAACTTTTACCTGGATAAAATTGCCCTCTAACATGGGAGGAGATACAAAAGGGGCATACTCTCCTCCATCCAACTTATTTTTGAGATCTCCGGGACCGTGCGAGGGTGGGATGCAGATGGCGTCTCGCTCACTGATCCTCATGGTAAGCTTCCTGTTGCTCTTCTTCATTGTGCTTACACACAAACACCAGACAATCGACAAAGTGGACAGACAAGGAACAGATGCAGAGAAAATTTAACATAACATGTAAGTAGCTTCACTTATTCATTCATTCAACAAATTTCATCAACATCTATGATATGCTAGGCGACGTGCTGAGCACTGGAGATACATCTGAGAGGCCTGATAAGATCCCTCCCCTCAGGCAGCTTATAGGCTATGGGGAAACAGAGGAAGCAAGTTCAAAATCAGATGTGGCTCTGGCCAGGGAGCTTCGTTTGTTAGAGCGTCGTCCCCATGAGCCAAGGTTGCAGTTTTGATCCCTGGTCAGGGCACATACAAGAAGCAACCAATGAATGCATGAGTAAGTGGAAGAACTAATCGGTATTTCTCTCTCTCTTTAAAAAAATGAAGATGTTGGATGATAAAGGCCACAGAGACTGTGGAACAGAGATACCTGGAATATGAAGTTCCTGGGGTATAGGGCTGGCAACACTAATTAATTAGGCTGGTTAGGAAAGGCCTCTCGAGGAGGCCTCAAACACATGCCCCATGTCCCCTAAACCATTCTTTTCTGTCTTCTTAATTAATGTACCACTACTCTTTCCATCATTCAGAGTTCACAGTCTCCTCCTCCTCCCCCTCTCCCTCCTCCTCCTCCTCCCCCTCCTTCTCCTCCTCCTCCTCCTCCTCCTCCTCCTCCTCCTCCTTCTTCTTCTTCTTCATCTCTTCTTCTTCTTCTTCTTCTTCTTCTTCTTCTTCTTCGA